GTGAATTGTTTGCCAGTGTCAGATGCTTCCATAACATGCATGTCACCATGCCTTTCTCAGTTGGTGACTAGTAGTTTGCAAAGTCTGGGTGAGCATGGAGTGGTTTCACCAGATATGAGTGAGATGCTGTGTAAAAGGAGTCGTATGGTGTTTGAGGTTTGTCTTTGTAACTGGCTCCAGCGATCAAATACACCTCCTCCCAAGCTGTTGTTTCCTACTATTCCATCCACTTAGCTTGAATTTTGGTTTTTGCTGTGAAAGACCTTATAGATATGAGATGTGATTGCCTAGAGAAGGCAGGCAGATAATCTCAGTTGTATAGTTATATTTTTCAGTGTTAGCTTTCTGGGTTTGCCCTTTAAAGATATGACAGTTGTATATAAGTGGAAGTAATTTAGCCCTGGAGGGATGAAATTCTTTTTTAAGCTCTTCATGTAATCTTAGTTTTGTTATTGCAAAAAGATCTCTAACCAGGAGCAATTGGGTCCAATCTGATGCGGAATTAAAAATAACTAGAAATCCTGGGGCAGTCCTCTGCAGTACCAGAGTGGTTGCCAGATGCATTTGGCATCAGATGTGCATCTAACTCAAATGCATTTGCCTGTATTTCACCCACAGGTATTGCAGACAGGAGGGCAGCTGGAGGGGTGTCCTGCCAACTGTTCTGCAAGTGGAGGCTCACAATGCCATCATATTGGTGCAGAGGGTTCAACAACACTGGCAGCTGTACAAATACAGGGTAGAAGACAGTTCCTGCCTAGAAGAGGTAAAAGGCTGCAACTGGCAACAGAGAAGTGCAATCATTGCCTCTGGTTGTTCAGCAGCTCAGAAAACTCTTGGAATTGATTTGGCTCTGCAGACACTTTGAAAACAAATTTAATCCCTTTTCCAGTAAATTCTTCTGGTTTACTGCTAGCATGAAATGTCCTGACCACCACTTTACATGCAAGCACAAGGTCACTACAGACAGTACTGGATTATGTGCACACTTCAGTGGCAGCATCAGGATTTCAAAATGATGCAAGAGTACTTTTGTGCTGAGGAAGCGGTGAGACCTTCAGTTACCCAGAACTAGATCATCAGAAGATAAGGCAGGGTAGGGCTGGGAATATCAACCTGCCAGTCTTATCCCAGTATAGACTGGGTCATGTGAGCAGGCAGGAATTTTTCTAAGGTCAGATGCTATGGGCCATGTCTTCATCATATTTACATATCTGATTTTTAGGCAACTATGCCCCTTGGACATGTAATGAGGTTGGACTAGATAGCAAGGCAGCCTTAAAGAGGTGGACTAGAGTAATGGGATCAGTTACCTTTAGGGAGCAACACCTTGTCTCTTACTGATCTTCACAGTTGGGAAGAGCAGCATTTCCTCTAATGGTGAGGTTAAAGCCCATGTTTAAGAGTTGGGGAAAAAAGGTGAATGCTTTTTCTGATTCCTTTGGGTAGGATAACTTTTGGAGAAAACGTGATTCAGTCTAGCTTTGTTTTGTGGGCTGTTCAAGAACATCTTAGTCTATCTAATGATGTTGGGCAATAGCTTGTTCTTTGTCAGACAAGGAATATTTCCAGCCAGATAGCCTGAGCTACCTTTAAATTATTTGATTTAGCAGTTTGACAGCACTGAAGAGTTTAACATGGGCTAAAAGTTGACTGAAGTGTACATATACCATCAGTGATCAACAAGACCCTTGCACCAGGACACCTGTGAACACTGTTATAGTCTTTGTCTTCTTAACCTACTGGACTGCCTCCCCTCTAGAGGAGGGAGGCTAATTCTTTATATCTGGAGATGTGACAGGGCAAGACCACGTGGACAATGCTTACAAAATAGAAAAGAGGAAAGACAGTCTCTTTGCAGAGATTGTTCAAAGGTCAAAGAACACACGCTGTGCATCATTAGGGCTTTCAAGTTGCTTGTATGTTTTCAAGTAAAAAGAGTCTAGGGAAACTACAGCAGATGAAGAGTTTAGGGAAGTAGCCAGAGACAGTTATGCAAGAGCCTAAGACTTCAAACAGATTTTTACATACACACTTGCTGAACCTCATTTCTAGTACCTGTTCCTTTATGATGATTCCTATTTTTTTAAGAGTTCATCGCAGATCTAGCGCAAATCTGAGCTAACCAGACAGAAATGAATGGAACACTGCCCTGCTTAACTCTGTTTTTCTTCTATCCCATCAGGTGTAAACGAGTGACTGGCTTCAGAAGCACAAACACATTGAAAAAGGAGCGATGATGCATTCAGTGCTTGCAGTTATGAAGCCCTGGGGCCTTCTCAGTTCGTAGATCAAGCAGCCATCAAACCACATCACACCACAAATTTATGTCCCTCTCCTCCTTCCCAGCTCTCTGCCCTTCATAAAATCCACCAATACTCCTACTCCAAATTCCCCAGAGACACAGTATTACCAGACATAGACAGACAGACAGACATCAGTCAGTGAGGTACAGCTCATAAGTAACTCACTAAAGTGTCTGCTGGGATGAGGGAGGGAACTGCTGTGGGTGTATTGTTCCAGTCCCATCATTTCCCAAAACACTGAATGAAATAATAACTTGTTTATAATAATGCATGACATCACAGCAATGCTACAGAGCTGCACTTGAGAAACAGTTTTGAACCCTGTGACCTTCCTTCAAGTGAGAAAGTCTTTTGGGAGGTCACAGGACGCAGAAAGTCCTAGTCTTCCTCTGGTTCTCTAGAAGACTTTTTTATTCTAGAATTAAAAAAATGGCAAGGACCACATGCACTTGCACACTTGAACCACCTGTTTTCTTTTCCCTTAGAGTTGATCTCTGGCTTAAAGCTAAAGATACCCACTTGCCAAGGAGTGACGGGAGCAATACACCAATTCATTCCACAGTAGATTTTTGACATAAAGTGAACCACGTCCAAGCACTTGATCCATTCTCCTCCAATAAGCTACAAGAGGAAAAAATTTCATCCCCTATCTGTGTCACACCATGTCCACATTACATAATTATCCACTCCCCTTGCCTTTACCTACCTGCTTAAAAGTACCTGGCCTTACAGGTTCACCGCTTTGATTTTGATACACTCTTTCTTTGCCATAATACCACAGCTAAATCCCTTTGTGCTACACAGCAAACAACTGCACCTTCCTTTGAAGGTACACTATGTACACTGCCTAGTGTACCTTCATTATTTCTGGGCAATAGAGAGCATCTGCTGACCAGTTAATCTCTCCTATTTTCCTATTTTACAGTGTAGTAAAAATGAAAGCAATCCAAAGTTTAGAAGGGGGAAAAACAAAAGCCAAAACAAATGAGAACTGATCCTGCTTTCCTGAGAGATCTACTTTAGAGATGTAATCTAATGCACCTTCTATCTTTTTCTTTCCCCTAGGCAGCTTCTTCCAAAGAAAGGAATAGTATCCTCAGCATCGGTATGGGTGTCTTATGTCTGGGGGACTAATCACTTCCAGGACTGAGCCCTGATGATGACTTAAAGCTGCTTTGAATACAAAACTCCATGCATGGAAGGCAAAAGCCTTGTTTTGTTGCCCCAAAAAGGGAAGAAGGCTTGCTAAAAACAACCTTCAATCAGCTGTACACATCTAGACAGTGTTGTCTTTAGTGTCCCAGATGGTCCCAGCTGTTGGCATACGCAATGACAATGACATTCATTTCTTTTCCATATACATCCCATGCGAGTCCAATTTTTCAGTTGCCTGCTGATGGGAAGTGAAATTCACCCAGAGAAAAGCTGTGCTTCAGGCCTACAGGATCCCAAAGCTCGTGGAAAAAGCCTCAGTGGGGAGGATTAGTCGTAGGATCACTTCTGGCTACTATCTAATTTTATCTGTGTGTCACTGATACCAAACGTCATTCTTTTCATTATGAGAACCCCTCGACAAACAGGACTAAAAATAAAAAGCAAGAGCTCGCAGTTGGCACAAACTGTGCTACATGGACTCCAATTTGTATAGCAGGAACTATAATCACTCTGAGACGTGCCCAAGCCCTCGGGCATCCCACGGGATTTCAGTCACTTGTTTACAAGGTGTTCTGATTTGCAGCTGTTTGACTACTGTGGCATTTCAAGAGGGGGCGGTTTGAAAGGATGTTGTTACTTTGGACGTTGGGATTGGGAAATGGGTATTGAAAAATCACACAAGAAACAGGAGAGTGCTGTCTTTGTTCTTCCCCCCTTACATATGAATGACGTCAGTGCCGGGGAAAGGAGCTTCAGGAACAGATCCAGAGACCAGTGCTCTAGAAAGAATACACAGGGTACAGGGAAATCCTCGAAAACAGAGTTGTGCCCTAACCTACCACACAGAGTGCCCCGCATCTGACTGGGGGCACTAAGCTCTGGAGGTAAGAAGGGAACCATCCAAGCCCATTGCTTTTCCACCTTTTCTAACAAGGTTACCAGCAAATAAATTGATATTGTGCCATGGACATCCCTAAGAACTAGGATAAAGGCCATCACCAGCTCACTTCAAACAGGTCAGCAGCAGCTGAAATGGATTTGGTCACTGGCTTAAAGTGATTTATCAATTCAGATGGCTCTTTCCATCATTCCCGCTCTCCTGACCTGAACAGTTCCTCTTTCAGAGCTGCATTAAGCTAATACCCACTTTCTTATGGGCCCTCTTGGGATAATGGATTCAGATATGCAGAAGGAATGTAAAAATCTGTCTGTTATCTGGGATGAGTGATTTGCACAATAGTGCCCGTGAGTGTTTGTTTAACACTGTGGACAGCAGAACCCTGCTAAGTGGTAACACGCTGAGAAGGGGAAAGCCAGAACGGAGGAGAAAGTAGCCTGGCTGATTAAAAACTATGTCCACCGAGCTGTGTGCGTTTTTTGGCTTAGTTAGCTGTTCACTTGTTTTTTGTGGGAAACCAGGAAGGACATGTGAAGCTTTTCCCAGGCTTTAGTGTTATTCTCTTGTTTCCAGCAGTGGCTTTTGTATGCATTAATTGACAGTAACTCATGTAGAAGATCTAGTGCCAAGAGGATATTTACCTTGCAAACATTTAATCTGCTGCCCATCTCTCCTCTTCTGTGACTTCTTCAAGTGATGACTGACTGGAGGCACCATGTGCACTTGAAGAAGCATCACTCCTGCCAACCTTAGACACAAGCCCTCTGCCTGCCCAGTGTGTGCCAGAAACCTGACTGCACTTTCTTGGCAGGGAGCAGCCTTCCCCTCACTTCCTGGAGGTGAAAGAGGGCTCAGCCTAGAATGCAAAGCGTAAAAATGTAAAGAATCTGTTAGATTATACTATGACAAATTGGTGTTTTTCTAGCAAGATTAAAACCCACCCTATGTTTGATTCTGAGTGACATTGATCAGTTTGGCACCAACAACTTCTCCACTGGTGTCATGAGTGACTTCTCTTTAAGCAAACACCCAGAGAAGCACTCCTTGCTTTCTCTAGGCAAAGTTGAAAGAAAAATCTGCATTTGCATTGCACATGCCATCAAAGATCTCAAAGTACACAACTTATCCTAGCCCACATGGCAAATCTGTATCGGAGTTGGGTCAGAAATTCTGACCCTCCCTCCTTTGCTCCAGCCAGGCTGACTTTTCCTCAAGGTCAGCTATGACTGCTGCCATCAGAAGCATGCTATACTGTCACCACCTTGTCACACGTACCAGTTTCAGACTCCCTGGTTTTTACCCATAGCTATGGAAAATTGTCTGCAGAAGAGGCTGCTTAGAAAGGAAGTGGAAGATTGCTGAAGTCTATTCTAATCCACAGTCTATATTTATGCAGCCCTTGTCACAGCAGAGCAGAGAAAATGTCACTGGAACAGTTTTCTTTTTGCCAACAGGCAAGAGGTTTAAAACGAGGCAGTATAACCTCTATTTGATGATGTGTTTCTACAAATGTTTAACTTGCTATTTCATTTAAAAATCATCTTTAATGTTGATTTATATTCCTGGCAGTGAAGTCAGGAGGTTGGCAATCCCATTCCATTTCAGTCTGTGCTCTGACTGAGGCAATAACACAGATCAAAGAGAAGGAGTCTTGCAGCACTCACATTTTATCATCCTGAATGTTTTCAAGTTCTCACTCTGATATTCATGGGCAGATTATGTAACTACTAGATTTATACTTCTGAAGGCCAAATAGTAAAAACTGAAATGTTTTATCATTAAGAGGAAGTATTTGGAAATAATTGAATTGAAATAAGGAACAACATATGAAGCAAACACTTGACAAAAGCAGCAATGCTTTCCTGGAGATGTCGTCTTGCTCCAATCTTTTATAGGGTCAGCCATTTGTTTTCATGCCATAGAATATAAAATTAACTGCATGTTATTTATTATACATTCTAAGTCTTGTTTTCCATCTAAATATGTCAAGTTGACATTTTTATTGCCTTAGTAATTGCTAAATATTCAAGGACTTGAATTCCATCATTAACAGTTTACCTAAATGATGGAAGAGGAGTAAGCCACAGAACTTCTGTGAATTTTTTAGAAGATAATAACTTATAGTTAATTATCTAACAAGTCAGAGAACATGAAAACTTGCCTTGGTGCCTGCCTTGAGCCTTCCTGCCCATGGTTTTTGCACAGTATCTTATAAATACTGATAGGTTTAGTTGTCTAATGCCCTGGGGACTTTGACACCATAGCAGCATCCCCTTTTTTTACAGGAAAGGGAACACAGGCAGACAAAGGTTAGCAGATCACAGAAGCATAGAATCATCACCTTTAAGATCATCAAGTCCAATCGTCAAAGCAGCACTACAAGTGTAGCCCATAAACCACTAACCATATCAACCAGCGCCAGATCCAGACACCTCTTAAACATCTCCAGGGATAGTGACTCCGCCACTCCCCTGGGCAATCTCATGGCTAGGCTTCGCAAACGAAGATACTCCCATGCCTAAGATGCACCAAAGGATGAGAGAATGGATTGAAAGCAGCCCTGAGAAGAAGGACTTCAGGGTGTTGGTTGATGAGAAACTCAATGTGACCTGGCCATGTGCAGGTTGGTTGGAGCTCTGAGCAAACTGGTCTAGTGGAAGGTGTCCCTGCCCATGGCAGGAGGGTTGGAAGGACATGATCTTTAAGGTCCCTTCCAATCCAAACTACTCTATGATTCCAGGCAGTGCAGCAGGATCTGGACGTGCTGCTGGCCAGAGGGCCCAGGCTGTGGGGCCGTCAAGGCCAGGCACAGCCCCCTCTGCACGGGCCCGGCTACTGTGAGCCACCACCAGACACCTGGACAGGCTGCAGGCACATGGTTGGCTCAATCTGTGTGGGGAGATCACAGAATCACAGAATTGTTAGGGTTGGAAGGAACTTTTGGAGATCATCCAGTTCGACCCCCCTGCCAAGGCAGGGTTACCTAGAGCAGGTAACACAGGAGCACATCCAGGTGGGTTTTGAATGTCTTCAGGGAGGGAGACTACACAACCTCCCTGGGCAGCCTTTTCTGCCTCACCATCCTTTGCCACTTTCAATGTAAGGTTCTTCCTCATGTTGAGGTGGAACTTCTTGTGTTTTCATGTATGTCCATTACTCCTTGACCTGTCGCTGGGCACCACTGAAAAAAGCCTGGCATCATCCTCTTGGCATCCATCTTTGAGATATTTATATGCATTAATGAGATCCCCTCTCAGTCTTTTCTGAACTAAACAGGCCTAGCTCCCGCAATCTCCTCATAAGAGAGATGCTCCATACCCCTAATGATCTTTGTGGCCCTCCGCTGGACCCTGTCGGGAGTTCCATGTCTCTCTCGCACTGAGGAGCCCAGAACCGGACACAGCGCTCCAAACGCGGCCTCACTGGGGCTGAGCAGAGGGGCAGGATCACCTCCCTCACCCTACTGGCCACACTGTTCTCGATGCACCCTAGGATACTACTGGGCCTCCCGGCCGCCGGAACCCGGCTGTACAACGCCCGGCTGCCCAGCACTGGCACCGTCACGGACACGGACAGCGCCGCCCGACCCGCCCCAGCGGGCGGGAACGCTCCGCCCCCGCCCCGCCCTGGCCCGGCCCCGCGCCCCGGACGCGGTTCGGGGGAGCGGAAGGGGCGGGCGCGGCCGGGGCGGATCGAGGGGCACCGGCGCGATGTTTCTGACGGCGGCGGCCCGTGAGTGGCCCGTGAAGGGCGGAGCGGGACCGGGGTCGAGGCCGGGGCCGGGCGGAGCGGGCGCCGGGCGGGGGCGGCCGTGGGACTGGGCGGGCGGCTGGACGGCGGCGCGACCTGCGCTGCCCTTGCCCGCCCTGCCCCTCCCTCGGCGAGCCCCGGGGGAAGCTCAGGGTGACCTAAACACGACGTGCACAGACACAACGTAGATGAGCATTTTTAAAAAAAAATTTAGCGCAGTTTTGCATTTATGCTGTAGATATATGATTATTTTAAATGCCGGTGAGCTGACAGAAATAATTCAGCCTGTTTCATGCTGTGTGGTGGGTTAATTCGGGGGGACCGAAAACCAGCCTTGTGAGAAGGTCAGGCTCAGGTGAGAACAGCTCCCTGCCCTGGTTCACCCTCTGGCCAAGCAAAGCTTTGCGTTGGCACCGCGGGCAGGAACTGCAGCAGGAGTGGGCGTGAGCAAGTCGGGAAGAGTGGGGCTGCAGTTTCCACCAGCAGTGTTGTCCATACCTGTCCTAACCTAGAGAATTGACACTAATCACTGAAGCTGAAAACTTACTGAAAACATCTGGAGGTTGCAGCAAGTGCAGCCTGTCATGCTGGGCACTATATTTGCACAGACACCTAAAAAAGTGGTATGATGGCAGAAGGAGCAGGCAACTGACAGCACATGGATGGATGAGTGGTGTTTATTATGACAGTAAAGCTCTTTCCACTGTCTATCTGTGGCTTTTGCAAAGGCAGGTGGTGGAAAACTCTATGTGTAACATATAAAGGAAGCAAGATAAAATGATAACTGTTTCTTTTGTTTTTTTCTTCTTCATGCTGCAAAAAAACGACCAGTGGCCAAGAGCAAATCTAAGTAAGTGATGTTTTCCTACCCAGTTTTGGGTTTTGGGTACCACTCTGTATCTTTACAGAACGTTAGGCTTCTCTAAATTTTTTTAATATACCTGAGAGAATTGCAGACCTTGAGTCTAGCTGCCTCTTCTCTGTCCTTCTGCATGTGTGTCTTCTCACAGGTAAGTATAGAACGGTGTGAAACGCCTCGCTGGGTTCTGAAATTGCAGCAAAGGCAAGTTTGTCCTGTGGGCTGTTGCATTGATCTGAGCTGTAATATCCAAAGCACCTTGTGCGGGGGGAAGCACACCTCTGTGTGCTGTGTGATTGAAGAGAGGATGTAAATTATCTGCATATTTTTGCTCTTGTTTACCTTTCATACCTTTTTAGCTGGGGAGAGCAGACTGAGCTACAGTGTGGGTCTTTGTTGTCTGTGGGCTGAACTTTGAGCAGGTGCCTTGCAGCTTTCCCCTAGACAGTGGGCAGAGCACTTCCTAGGAGTGGACAGCATGCGGTCAGTGCTCTGGGTGTCTTGGTTTGCTCTGTAGTCCAGCTCAGGAGAGATGTTATTGGGCTCTGGAAGAAAATTAGTCACAGTCCTCCAACCTGTAAAGAAAGCTGATGGTGTGTTAAGGCTTTGAAAGGAAGGAACATGTACTTGAAGCACACGAATACTCTTACAGTGTGGGCACAAGGAGACAAGACTATGTGGAGAAAATTACTTGCATCCAAAATGCTATTTTAAAGAAAATTAGCTAGACAAATGCAAGGGGCTAAAGTGATACATTTACATGAACGCATTCCTGTTTGCCCATTCCCAGAAGTTGCATTCTGTGTGAGTGTATTATCTTTCGAACATTTTCTGTATTTTGGTTTTTTTAAGACCAGCCCCCAACAGAGCCAGTACCAACCACTTGCAGGGTTTGAGGAGATTCTTCTCTTACGGAATTTCTGCACAATTGTCAGGGTTTTAAATTAAGACATACTTCCCAACTATGTCCCTGACAGAGGGCAGTTCAACTGTTGAGTATTCTACTGTTCACAAAAACAAACACTGCAAAGCAGGAGGTTTCTGCGAGGTGAAAAAGTAGCTGTTTTAAATGGTGGTACTAATGGTAATGTAGGGATTTCTGCCACACACCCCATTTTATTTTTTTATCCTGATGTTTCTTTTGTTGTTCTTTATAGTTCCATATATGCTTCAGGAATATTTTATATATTTATCCTTCTGAACTTGCCTTGGGTTTCTCCCTGTGCCCCAATAGCTTTCTAGTGTTGTTTTCTGCCTTTGCTCCCAGTTACATTTCTTCATTGGGGAGTGATTTTTTTGAACAAGGTGTGTTTGGAATGGGCTTGGCCTCAGATGTGTGGAGCACAAGAATTTCAAGGCCCGGTCAAACTGATAACACTGATTCTCCCAGAAAGAGGAAACTGCACAGAAACTTTGAGGAAGTGGGTGAGGTATAGGGGAAGGAGTATTTGTGGTCACTGGGGCTTCACAGCACACCTGCAGTAGTGTACAGGAGAGGACAATAACCGGGGATAATCCCAAGAATATGTTTGGTCAGTTAATCTGCAGGAATCCAGTGATTTTCTGTTCAAGGAAGTACAGTAGTCGAAGCTGCACAAGTGAGGAAGAACAGGTTAATTTTGAGTGGCCATTCTGTAGTAGAAACAGGAAAATGCAGGGAAGTGGAAACTGAACTCAAAGCCCACATGCAGAGATGTGTCCATCTCTTTACTGCAATGGAAGAGAAAGACATAATTTACAGAATGGTTAAAGGGTTTTACCTTTCTTTTGAGACTTCAGAAGATGCCCTATGTCTGGGAAGTTGCATGGATCTTGGCATACTTCCAGGCTGGGGCTGGGGGGCAGCTTTTTCAGTCTCCTGACTTGGCCTGCTCCGAGGACACTGCAGGTGCTTCCAGCCCACCCCACAAACCGAGAGCCCTGCAGTGGGGAAGGAGGTTCCTGTGGCTGGGTTAACATCAAGCTCTATATCTAGTGGGATGGATGGTGCCAAGGAGTACTGCTTCTCCTTTTGCACATCTCTTATTCCAGCCTATCTGTTCAGCTTCCTCTCTGCATGTGGAAGTGATAGTCTGATACAGTGTTATCTACAGCCTGACATCTTTAACTACCATCATCCTTCCTCTCTTGCCATTATCTTTTAAGCCATAATGACTCAATTCTATGCTGATTTTTCTCATTTCTTTTTTTCTTTCATGCTTTTATTCCTCCTGCCACACTGTTCTGTGGAGGAGCTCCTTCTCTCTGGGCTTGTATCCTGTTCAAGAGTTGTTTACTTAAACTTGATGCTGGAGCTTATGGTTTATAGTGGGCTTGTTTGTCTTATAAATCTGGTATTGATGCTCCCGTCCAGAACGTCCTTGAAGCTGAAATAGAGTATCTTATGTGACTGTGCCAAATTGTCTATGCTTAAACCTTGTCCATTTGCCTGTGCCCTGGCAGACATGGTACAGGCTGTAGCTGAGTGCCTGTGCATTGACACAGAGACATCCCTCTGACTTTAGATACGTTCTGGTGAGGATGAAAAGTGCCGCAGAGACGGGCTTCTGTTTCAACATCAGGAGACTCCGACTACAGGAAAAACTGGTCTTACTGAGATATGATCCCATTGGTAAGAGCTTGGGGAAAAAGTCAGTGTGCTTTCTATAAACTTCTCTGACTGTGTGGGGCAAAAGATTTGAATGTAACAGAATTTTTCCCATCTAAGCAGAATGTGTCATAACATGCTTCATACTCAGATGACTGTACAGTTGCTGTTCTTCATGACATTCCAGTGGGAAGTAAGCATTACCCTCATTTTACAGATTGTGGCAGGGAAACAAAGTAATGACTTGCCTGACACATCAGAGACTTTGATGACAGCCATGCCACATGTCACTGGCAAAGCCAAGTGACACAGGAGTTCTTTCATTCTGTTTCTTTGTGTGGTTTGCTAGACTGTGCTATCTCCAACAAGCAGTCACGAAGTATGCATCAACAGAAGCATTCTTTTAAGTTGCCATGGGTGTTCTGAACAAATTTTAACCATCACTTACAAAATGGACTTTTTCTTTTAAAGAAGTAAACACAAGTTCTTCCTCCTCCACAAACGATGCCACTCTCCAGATGACAGTTAATGGGTTCCTTTATATTCCTTTGGTCCTTGCAAATTTTCTTAGCTTAAGAATCTGATTTGTTGGGAGGGGGGGTTATAGCACTTGCCAAACTGCCATTTGCTCGCCCAGCTTTTTAAAAGTTGACTAAGAGTTCAAGTTTCTATAGTTAACTTTAAAAAGCTGAATTTAATGTTAAAAAGCTTATTTTGGGTAAACTTAGAATTTAAACCAGACCATGCATGGTGGAGGTAATGCAAAAAAGGCTTATTTAAAGCTATAGACTAAAGAAATGTAGTAAGCAGCTCCAAGTAGATAATATAATGCACGGCCAGTAGTTATGTGGTTCAAGCTTATTTTTTCTCATAATTTTATGTGCTTCTTAGATGACTACTGCCTTTTCATTCTTAGAGTTAATAGTACAACAGCTTTATGACAAGTGAGAGAAACCACCAGAGAAGCAATATGCTCTCATCAAAGCTGACGGAGGTTGTGCCTTTCCTTTCGAATTCCATACAAAAAGGAAATCAGAAATCTCTTGGACTGCTTTCTTGAATAAGAAAAATTCAAATTACTGCATTGAAGCATTGTGCAAAGTGATCCTCCAGCAGCTTTGCAACTTGTAGGAAAGTGAAGAGCTCAGACAGAACACGTAGTAGGTTTCTGAACTAAGCTCTGATCTTTGTAGCCTGTAGTAGAATACAAGTGAGAAATTGATGTGAGAAAGTGCTGCATGTGTGAAGGGAAGTAAATTTGAGTCTGGATAACAACTCACATCAGGAATATGTTAGGAAGCATTTTCACTTGGCATGCATTTTCACCTTATGTTTTGTACTTCTCAGAAACCTGGGACCTCCACAGAATGAAGCTTTTTAGTGAAGTAGTGGCAGAAGTGCCCAAGTTTCACTACCTCCTAGCTGCAGCGACAGAATGTGTTACTAAGCTGCAGTATTTCTTAAAACGAAACTTTTATGTGGAAGAAGAGATTTTGTCACTGTGTGGATTGCTCTTGCATAGCTTTCAAAGGAATTCATATAATGAAGTTGAATCAAAACATGCTTTTCAAATGACACTAAAAAGCTTTGCTTTAATTTATTTTGTAATTTTTGGGTTTTAGTAATGTATTGACTATGCTTAACCAGTAGCTGAAGTGACTTTGCCAACATCTGCATCAGGTGTTAGGGGCAGGGTCAGTTTGTGCCCCTGTTAAGAGATCCACAGGACACTTCATTAACTTCTCAGGCAGACTGTGAGATCAGCTATATCCAGCTCATCAACCTTAGTTGTTTGGGCTCTGGAGTTGAAAAGTAGTAGAAAGCAGTAAGAACCTATTTTTGTCCCTGTACGGAGCAGCTGTGACTCAGAGCAGTCACACAGAGCAGCTGTTGAATGTTTTCAGTCATTCCAATCCTGATACTTATTCCCACAAAGGTGAAGTGGACCTCTTAGGAACTAAAAATTACATGTGGTAAAGTGAAAGCACTACTAAATTCCCTCAAGAGTTGGTTAACAACAGTGCTGTGCCAGTCAGTTTCTCCACGCTCATTTAAGCAGTGAAGGCAGCCAGGGGAAAAGGGACATGGGCTCCTTGAATTGAATTTTAACACTTCAGGCTTCTAAACAGATTCTTTTTCTTCCCCTATAGCAAAACAACGTGTCCTCTTCACAGAGAAGAGAAAAATCCGCTCTATGTGAACAGTGACTGGACTTGATTTATACATGAGGAGAGGATGGTCTGGGGGGAGGACGGGGTGAACGCTGATTCAGAAATCCAGCAACATGGGCTGAAAAGAGAGGAAATGAACTGGGATCACCGTCTCCTGTGATTTGAAGGCCATTGTGAATAAAACAATGTAGAGAGAGAAAATTCTTAATGTCTGGACATAGATCATCACAGTAACATTTATTTATCTTTTGAGTTATTTTTACAGTACTCAATTAAAAAAAAAATTAAATAGCAAATCCCATTGTCTGTGTTTTCCATTGTGAAAGAGGCTGTAATCTTCAAAGGAACTATTGTTTTATAAAGCAATAAAAATTAACATTTTCCACAGCAGGAATTCAATGGCAGGATTGCAAGTTTTTCTAACCTACCAGCCACAGATGTGACAGTAGTGACCATAAGCTGGTGTCATTCCTTGGAGGGGTAATGTTGCACCAGCTCCTTCTGAGGAAAAAAAGCAATGAGAACCTAGTCATGTAAGATGAGTTTTTGGATAAGCTATGACCAAGGTTAAAAGGGCTATATTTTCAGCCAGGTTAGTAGGATGGATTTTTCACTCCTGGGTTTTTGTCAAACATGAAGAAACCAAAGTACTTCTCTGATGTTTTTAGAAGCTTTTCTTCCTTAATTAGCTTGCCTATGTTTAGAGCAATATGGCTAGAAACATTTTTCAGAGTCTGCCTCCAGTAGCACTCTTGTCCTCTTTTCATTTGGAGGGACCTTCCTCCACATTCCAGAATGTGGGGAGGTACAGTGCTGCCTCTGAGGCGAGCGGGCATAGACGTGCCCGGGCTTGACGGACGGAGCTTTGTTGAGAGCCGCATGCTGGCCTTGGCATCTGCAGCTGAGTACTGAAGTTGCAGTCTCAAAGCTAACACTGCTTCATGTGCTGCC